CTTCTTCGATCAGCCCTCTGGATCGAAAGGCCACCCAAGCTTCTTCGATCTAGGCCTTACAGTTTCAATTTCTAACGATTTTGCTTGCAGATCTAGCGTACCAAAAACCCTCGAACGAGGTCTTCGATCAGCTCATTGGATCGAAGAGCAACCCAGGCCTCTTCGATCTAGACCTTGCTTCCAAGAATTCCATCTTTTCATTTCCTGTTTTTGGCCCTTTTCGATTTGTGTTTCTTTCTGATTGGATGTTTGTCCTTACTCCTTCTAAGCTTTAGTTAACACCAAAAAACCACAAAAACATTAGGCCTAGTTTTTTACATTAAATTAATATTGTTAATTAATTAATTAATTATATTATTATTTTCTTAAAAATTAAAATTGAATAGATTTAGGATTTTTTTAATTCAATTTATTTTCATAACAAAAACAAACAAAAATTCCTTTCACTTAGGATTTTAGACGTATTTTCAATTTATGTGCGCGTTTATTTACTTCAGCATCTTTTGTTAATTATGTAATTGTGCCCGGATTGTAATAGCTTAATTAGGATTTTATTTCCGCGCTTTATTTTTTCTCAGTAATTATTTATGCATCTACACCAAAGCCTTGTAATGGCGTAGTAACCTAGGTATGTATGATTAATCAATCAATCTTAGATCACTGATATCAAAGATAAAAATACCTAAAAAAGTACACTATTGCACACTTTCACCCTTAGGGTATACCTCACTTGGTTTCCTTCAGAAAAACAATGGTCACGTCCCTCGAACATATGGATACTCTTAGAAAAGACCCTAAGTTTAAAGTCATCATAAAGATCATAGTCCCTAAATATCCCTCGAGTTGCCTACGAGAAATGATCTTATGATGATAGTCCCTTCAAAATGGTAAGGTATCCTTACATGTTGTCTTCAATGACCATTACGTCCCTTTCGATAGTCCCTCAACATCCAACGACTAGGGTTACCTACTCACTAATAGTAGGATAACACGGTCTAAAGGATAAGAGGAAAAGAACAGTCTTTTTTTAAAGTAGGTAGATAACTGTTAGGTACTTGCTCAAACAAATTTCCACACCACACTTTCAAACACTTTTCAAACAAAGTTTTCAAAACACTTTATCACACTCTTGAGGACTGATACAAGAGTTAACATAAAGTGAATCGCCGCACTAAGGCATTTTCAAACAAAAACTTTTTTACACAAACACAAAAGCAATTTCAAAAATGAGAAAGTACCTAAGAGCCCATGGAAAACCATGGAAAACCATGGATGGAAAGGGTGCTAACACCTTCCCTTTCCATAATCTACCCCCCTTACTCAGAAATCTCGAAAAAGGTCTTTTTCTGTTCTTTTCATCCTTTCCTTTGTTGGATAAAAGAATAAACGGTGGCGACTCTTGCTTACCGCGACATTTGCGAACAAAAAATGCAAACCAGTATTAAACAGTCGGTTATGCCACCCTATCACACACGCTCTTAAGTGATATATGGTACATCATAAGGTATGATGAACGTGTACTTAAGTGGGCTTTTTAGCTTGCAGCCCACACAAGTGGTTCTATAAATAGAACCCTTATGCAGAAGCAATTTTACTTGACGAAAATTCGGTCTGTGAAACCCTAGCCATATTCTCTCTCTCTCTCTCTCTCTCTCTCTCTCTCTCTCTCTCTCTCTCTCTCTCTCTCTCTCTCTCTCTCTCTCTCTCTCTCTCTCTCTCTCTCTCTCTCTCTCTCTCTCTCTCTCTCTCTCTCTCTCTCTCTCTCTCTCTCTCTCTCTCTCTCTCTCTCTCTATCTCTCTCTCACACACACACACACACACACACACACATGCGCGCGCTCACTCAAATCCTTCATTCATAACAGCTAGCATTGAGACTGAAGGATTTTGTTTGTGTAGACTGAGTAGAGGAATTGTTCTTCCTCAATCCTCGTGATCACTCCTTCGATTTGCATCAAAAGTTTCAATCACCACAAGAGGTAATTGTTTCTATCACTGATCATGGCCACTCATAAGGATCACTAAAGGAAAAATTTTAATTTTTGTTGCGTTTTGAATCACGATTTTCCTTCAGCAGTGTTAGAGCCACTTATGAAGCCATGCATCTGATAACTGTCTATTTTTTGTACTTTCTGTATTAATTCAATTAAAACACAAAACAAATTAAATAATAAATGAGTAATTAAATTTTGGCATCATGATGTGTATGATTTGGATGATTGATGTTGACTATGCTTTAAAATCCAATGTTAGTATGGTGAAGCAGCAATACATCAATCGTCCATAAGTTATACAAATGAGACCGATCAATATATATATATATATATATATATATATATATATAATATATATATATATATATATATATATATATATATATATATATATATATATATATATATATATATATATATATATATATATATATATATATATATATATATATATATATATATATATATATATATATATATATATATATATATATATATATATATATATATATATATATATATATATATATATATATATATATATATATATATGATATAAGTAGTTCTAGTGAAAATATGGTATATGGATATACAGTTTCTATTTCATCCATTCAATCACGTAATGATTGTTATTCTTTTGAGAGATCAATGTTTATTTGATTCAGAATATGATGTTAGTATGGTGAAGCAATGGCGTGTCGATCAATCATACTGAATCATCAATCGAAGTGTGTTTGACTGTATGAAATTGTTGCATTAGGGTTCATAATAGTACAAGGTCTTGCACCCCAAAATTTTCCCTCCTAATTTTACCTTTATATGGCTTAGGTTTTTGCATTCATCTGCATACGTTCCATTAGGGAATTAACACAACATTTAATTCAAAAAAGTACCACAGGTTCAAAGGATCGATGATCTTGCAATACCAGAGTTTCACAGTGTTTGGTTGTATATATCCAATAAAGTTTTATTCTTCTGGTTATTTTTCTGGAAGTAGTGGAGTGTGGATTTGGGTTTTTGATTTATGGTTGTCGTGAATTTTTTTTGTCAAGCTACAAGGCTATTCTCCATCAATATCAAGATTAAAGGATTTGGGGTTTCTAATCCTCCGTGTTTGGGTCGTGGTTTGGTTGTTTCAAGGATGTGAATTTGGGTACAAGACTTTCGTTGTGGAGTGTGGATTAAATCATCTCTTCCTAGTTGATTTTCATCATTTTTGGTCAAGACATGGTGTATCTATTAAGGATCTCTTGATCATCAATTCAAGACTTCTATTTATTTGAGTTACAAGGCATGTGATTTCATCAAGTCAAAATGTTGTCTCTTGTTTGTTCAATCAAGTTTGCTTCAAAATGCAAGATAATTTGAATTTGCAATTGCCAATTGATTGGGTTCATTCCCCTGTTTCACACGGTAATCAAAAATTTTCTTTTGGTGAATCAACTTGAGCTTCACTTGGTTTCACTCCACCTTAGGGGTTTGGTCCTTATTAGAAGATATAAAGTCATTATTTCAAGGTTTTTAGCCATTGCAAAATTAAGAAAGGATTCAAAAATTCAAATTGAGATGTGAAGGGAATAGAAAGAAACACTTCATTTAGAAGGAAGTTTTGTTCATTATTGCATCAAACTTCATTCAACACTTGATTCTATTACAAGGATCCAAGTACATATCATTCCCATCATTCAGTACATCATAATTCCATTACAAATCCAATTACACCATACATAAAGGTTTTCGTTCTAATCCTAATAGCCACAACATGTTCCACATCAAGAAACCATGGCCAGCCCTGCAACAACCTTTAGCAGTTCATGAGCAACCCTTCAATTAGCACAAACCATTTCAGAAACAAAAAAACAATCACAGTTATCACCAGTTAACAATAATCCAAATAGCCAGTTTATGATCATAAAATTATACAGAATTCGGTTCCAATCAAGAAAAAATCTAAAACAATTTGTGACTATATCCATTCGGAAGCGGAATTGCCCTGCATCATTTGAAAGAGAATAAACTGTGACATTTTTTCAGGTCAGTAGAGAAGAAATCAAAATAGTATTCGAAGGAAAAAACTAGGTTCTATTCATCAATAAATCATATCCCTGCCCTTCATTAAAAAGCCTGCATCAATTATCCAAAACTTCAGCCCTTCATTTTGTTCATAGCAGGAAAAATCAGGAATTAACAGTTGTTAACATGATTACATATACAAATTAACCCTCTAACTGTCATAATAGAAAGCCTAAACTCAGTAACCAATTTCCTAAGTGTCCATAATCGACTCTCAATATGATTAATCCTAACCACCCAATCTCCTAACAGAAGTCGAGATCTAACAGCCCAGATTTCTTTCAATCCTAACTAACTTTCAAACTAATAGCTAACAGATTCAAAGGCTCTAACTATTTACTAACAGAATAAAAATAGAATTACCTCCCAATCATTTCATTCTTCACCACTTGAAGAATCACCCTCAGAAAAAACTAAAAAAAAAAAACTCTATGCATCTTCATCCTCAACTATTCTTCAATCTTCATAGAAGAATCACAGGAAACTCCACGAAAACTCCATAAAAATTCTCTCTATGCACAAGAATTTTCATCTTCCTCATCTTCAGTACAACTTCAACGCACACATTCAATCTTCAATGTTCTCTGCATAACGACAACGGATCTGCTACTTCAATCTCTCTCTTAATTTCATCATCTCCGTCGCAACGTATCTACCTTCAACAACAGTTCAACTGCAGCACCTCGGTGCGTCACTTCTGCACTTTCGATCTGCATCGCAAAACCACACAACATCACACAACAACAACAACCATCTCAGAAACGCACAACAATTCGCGTTCAGAAGAAGGAACATAAGAGAAAATATCTCAAGATCATACCTATGTTAGCGGCTCCGCTTTGTTCGTCTTCATCATCGAAGATGTGATTCCTCCGGTGTTCTCATTATGTTCTGGATGTGAGATCATAGAGTAGTATAAGAGGAACTAAAGCCCTAACAATCCAGGGCTTGAATCCGCCACAAATGAATCAGAAAAGAAGAATAAGGTGAAGAATCTACTTCTAGATTTCCCATCGTCGTCGGCATCACTGTTGAAGAATCTCCAAACTCGTATCTGGTAGGCAATCTTCTATCTCCCTGGTTAGCATACGGTGTATGTTGTTTGTTCAAAAACCTCGAAGAAGAATGTGAGAGGATAACAACGACGGTAGATTGGAGTTCATCGAAGAAGAGAAGAGGCACAGATTCAAAGAGATGAGGCCGAAGACGGAGTTTTGTTCGAAGCAAAGGTGAGGTCAAACTAAGAGGTGAGAAAAGTCGCGGAGGCGAAGGTTGAGCGCCACCACCGAAATTTGAGGGAGACATTATGTTGTTGCTGCTGAACGCGAGAGCCATGGCCGCTGGAGATCGGAGTGGTGGAAGGTCGAGGAAGTGAGTCGCCGCTATATTGAGGAAGAAGAGAGATTCTTTCACGATGAGAGCTCAAGAGTCCCAATTCTAAACCCTGTTATTTATGATAAACGCACCGTTTAGCTTCAGTTTTTACTTCAGTATTTTGTGTTTTTTTTTGTTATATAATAATAATCTGAAGTAATGATAAAATATGTTGATTGGATACAAAATTTGGTGATATGGTATTGGGTCAACTTCGCCTGGGTTTAGACCAGAAGGGATTAGCGCCTCACTCTCTTATAGGCTCATACTTTTTTTTTTGGTAAGTTGAAGCCATGTGCATTAAAAACAGCTTATGGACTCAACCTGATGGGCCTAGCGCCTAGATTACTTCAGCACACCTCCTGGATTCAAGCTTGCACCCCTGGACCTTTTTTTATTTGCAATGCCTTTTTAATTGATTTTTTTAGTATTTTCAATTTATTTGAATTTTCTTCACATTATAAAAATAATAAAATCAATAAAATTTGTTAGATTTTTTTTATATTTTTTATTTTTAGGAATTAATCCACGATTATCCGATTAATTGAGATTTTGTAATTCACCTTTGCTTGTTGAGATCTGAGTCTTATGCAGGCTTATTGAGAAATATGCGGATATGCTTGAGTTTCTGATTGTGATTTATTTTCGCATCGATGTTGCTTCGACGCTTATTCCGAGCATTTGATTTCTGACTCTCCTTTGTTGCTTGGTGAAGCTTACTCTAATTTTTCTGGGTTTCTCTGCTTCGTTCGCGGCTGTTGCACCTCAAAATTTACCCTCCTAATTTCTTCTATCTGGCTTAGATTCTTGCATTCATCTGTATATATTCCATTAGGTCATTAACATACATTTGCATTCAATAAAGCGCTTAAGGTTCAAAGTTCAGTGGTTGTGCGATATTAGGGTTTCGTAATGGTTAAGGTGTTCGTGTCCGATAAAGGCTAATTTCTTATTCAGGCAGCGAGCGATGGAATTAGGGTTGTGACCTGGGTCATTGAGAATTTCTTTCTTCGTCAAGCTACGAGGCTATCAGAGTTTATTTTCCTGTGTGCGATCGAAGTCAGGTTTTTGACAATTGTGCTCTAATCGAGTTCTTCTCCAAGGATTATGGTTTAAGGTTGCCACTTATGGCTATCTGGAGTCTCCTTCCTTCAGACTTAAGGACCTCCATCTGTCACCACTTCTTGGGTTTTCTTACCAAGACTGGACTTCCATCTGAAGCTTTCTCTTAAGTGACGAGTATTTGGTTCTATCCTTAAAAGTGTGAACTTTAGCATAAACATTTGTGTGAATCAGCTGCTCCTATTTTATGGGATAAAGGTTTCGTCGAGAGTATTGATGCCATTGGGATCTTATTAGGATTATCTTTCAAAATCCGAATGTACATTCATTGTTGAAGCTCCTAGAGGTTGATTATGCATTGATACGGTGGAATAATCTATTCCCTATTTCACCAATTAGGGATCTGCATATCAGGGTTCAAGGGTGTTTTTCTTATCAACTTTGTCTTAAGATGCAAGATTTTAGGGGTAGGTGATGCAAGTGTGAATTAGGGTTTCTAATCCTTGGTGTTCAGACTTGATTTGGTTTTCATTTGAGGCGTTCTCTTCATTGTAATCAAGTGGTGGTCATCCTTTGGTCAAGATTTTGGTTTATCTGGTAATATCAATTGGATATCATTTTTTTACCAAATCAAGGCAGTATTCTTTCTAACGCTTTTTTTGCTTGGCACGTAAATTTGGGTTAGATTGGGGGAATTAAATTGGATTAGGAGCCCATCGTTGTTTACACAGTATATCAAAATTAAGTTTCAAGAGCATATGTGTTCAGGATGTCAAGAAGTTGATCTAAACAAGGAACAATGGCAGAAAAGTTTTAATTACGAAAGAGGAAAGTTGAGGCTTATCTCATGACGACCATTCAAGTATCATTCATCATTGTTCAACCTTATTTCATAAGTCCAAGTGATAATTCAAGTGTTCAAGGCATGTTTCTTTCATGACTCAAGATCCATATGTCACTATTTTGTCCAATACAAGGTTCATCCACATGGAAGTTTTCAAAATAGTTCATTCAATGGTATTCAAACTTCGTACAAATTCTATCCAATCAATTCCATTTCAATTTCATTCCATTACAAAACTCATGCCATTATAAAGTTACAAAGAAAACTACCAATTTGGCTCATCCAAAATACACATCATATCCATTCACCATTACAAGTCCAAAACTTACACTTCAAGACAATATTCATCCAAACCCTTTCAAGAACACTCAATTTCCAAAATATATTACAAATCATTCATAATACTTTACAGGAAAAAAATAGTCATAAGCCTAATCCTCTAAACTTGTAATGCTATAACCATCAGCCTCTTGAATTATGACCCAGTCTGGAATTAATCAAGGCTGGCTTGTCTTCAGCCTTCGATGATTGTAACCTGCTGCATCAAACACCAGCCAGTTATAAGTTTGTTTCAAGCTAATCCTGCACAACATTCACGACAAAAAAAACCCAGAATATAAAGAGAATCAGAAGCAGGTTCATCAGGACAAAACTCCAACTTTGTTATCAATTTTGAATTCCTACTGCTTTTTCGTTCAACTACTAACTTTCTTACATATTTAATCTTCAATTACCCTAACATCCAAAATCTACAAAAACTTGCTATATAATCTGACATCCAAAGTTGCCCTGCATACGCATATGAACGTAATCAATTTACACATTAACACCATAAATCGTTCACACCAGTTCATATATGAATTAAACCATGTTGTAGCCATGTCCAAGTATAATCTAAAAACAGGCAGAAGTGCAAAAATATCGAAAAAGAAGAATACAGGGGAAGTTTTGCATCAGAAAGTTAGGGGAAATTATAAAACTCAAGAGAAAATAGTAAGTTGTAAAAATATCAGTAATTCAAAATAGGAAATCAGGAAAATTAGAAGTAATTGCATCTCATCATAAAGTTAGTTTCATTTGCAAGCAAAAATCAGGATTAAATCCCACCGTCAGTTTGTAACTAACTTTTGAATCCAAAGGCTCTAATTACTTACATGTAACAAACTTCAGATGATATAACAAAAATTCTTAACTGTTCAAACTAACCATTGTCAACTCATACAAACTGTCCATAACAGCTAATAGATTCTAACTCTCTAAACAACTAACAACTAATAGAATTCTATAAAAAAAAACTAAGAGAACTCTAAAAAATCTCCTGACAATTTTTAGCAAAACAACTAACTTTCAACTGACTTTCTAACCATCAAACAAACTTTAGAGAATCTGTAACTAACTTTTTCTTATCAACATAACAGAAATCCAGCCGTACTAACTTCCAAAACAACCAACCAATTTTCAACTAAACTTCTAACAGAATCCCAACTGACTTTGGTAACCAACCAATTGTGGCCAAACTATAAATAACCAACAGAAAAGCAGAGAAAATAAAGAGAGGAATATATCAGTTCAGCCGCATTTGTTCAATAAGAAAAACATATACTAACAGAAATCACCTAACATAATTTCCAATTTCCCAACTACCTAACCAATCTCTAACTAACTCCCAACAAAATTTCCTAACTAACCAACAGTTTCAATTTCCTAATTGCTTCTAACCGTACTAACGGCAACGATACAGACTGGCAGAAGTATATAACATAAAGGAGGGAGAGGGTTCAGGATATATATACCAGAAAAGAAAGAGGAGAAATAGAGAAGAAACTCACCAGAAAATATTTAAAACTCTCGTGTTCTTCTCATCTTCTATTTTCGTCTTCTCACTATTCTTCAACCATCTCATAAGAATCACCATCACGATATTCTTGATCCATCTCTGATTCTATAGAAAAATCAGAAAAAACATCGCTACTCTCCCTCAATCTTCAATTGATCAATAACCTTCTGAAGAATCCTCATTCTTCATCCTTCACTGCTCAACCTCACTTATCTTCCTTACCATTCTTCATCTCATCATCTCTCTGTTTCTGCAACTGAGCAACCTTCCCTACATTGTGTTCGCATCTTCATCGCAACTTTAATCTTCATCAATGCAAGATCTTCTGCAAACACAACTTGCTTCATACTTCTTTATTCCATTTCATCCCCAATCTTCATCTATCCATCATATCATCGTCAACCTTCAAGAAACTCTGGATTGCATCTTCAACGATCTACAACTTTCAAACAACCAAACCTTCAGCAACAACGAAGTCAGGACCACAATGCTTCAATCAGTAATAAACTACAGCATCCAATCGTCTAGAAATTCATCTTCTTCTCTGTATTTGATCGAAGCAGTGAAGGTGATAATTTTCAATAGAAGAGAAGAGCAAAAAAATCAGATAACAGAAAAGAAGAAAAGAAGGAAAATGCACGATTCATTCAAGAAAGGGACAGAAAAATCCATCATTCTTCATCTTTCTCAACCATCTTCACATAGAAACTTCTCAAGAATCTTCAACAATCATCACAATTATCATCTTCGATGCTACTTTGCGGAGTTCATTATGCAAATCTACAAAAACAACAACAACAAATTCATTCAAGAGGTCATCGAAACAGAATCAAAATCAGAGAGGACGAAACGAGAGATACCAGTAAAGTGAAGAGTAACTGATGTAAAAGATCACCTCACCTCTGGTCCTTCGTTATCTCTTCTGAAGCCGCATGTACAGGTTTTGTTTCCTTTTTTGTCGTGTGAAGATTTTCGAGCCTTTTCGAGTTTTGAACGAAATCAGCAGAGACTTTGGATTGGAAGAAAAAACGGAAAGAAGATTAAGCGATGGGGATAGAGCTTCAAACTGAGACGGCGACTGAAGAAGAACGAATCAGAATCGGGGAGATGTTGGAGGCATTCGAATCGAACAAGGCTGACAGCGTCACTGAATGAGTCACGTGGAGAATTGATACGTAGTGAAGCGATCTCTTGTGATGGTCAGAGGTTGAGGTTCAATCGAAGAAGAGAGGTTGATTCGCGGCAGAGTGATTCTTCGAAGGTAGAAGAAGAAGGTCATGTGCCATTAACTCC